CGGCACCCCGCCGCCGGGCTCGTGTCAATTTGTGACCGGATCGGGAGGCGTCGGTCGGCGGCGGCGCCGGGCCCCCGCGGGGGCCAATCGTCTGACCGGAGCGCGGCCCGGGCGGCCGATCAGGGCGGCCATTTGGACTAACAGCCGGCTCGATGACCCGGCCTGCCTAACTTGAAACATAGGGCCAATCGCGGCCAGCGGCGGCCAGGGTCTCTCAGGGACGAATCGGGGCCGATACGCGGCGGTTTTCATTAAAACAACGGGAATGGATTATCGGGGAGGCGTCTCCGGCCTGGAGTGCCGATTGTGGGTCCCGTCCGCTTTGATTCGGCTCGAAAGCCGCCGTTCTGTGGGTCGGTGACAGTGCGACGCCTGCCGTTCTGGCTTCCGAGCAGCGACACGGCGATGCTGTACGTTACAACAAGGAGCTTTCCGGGTGGTGTTGTGGGGTGTTGATTTGACGAGGGCGAGCCGAGCGCTTAGCATGCTCTGAACAGTGCTTCTGACTGCAGACGAATTTTTGCAACCACCAACCCACCAACATCTGACCCGCAAGAAGCTGCGGACTTGTGGACGGGTTGTGGGCCGGATTTGGCTGGGTTTTGCCCATCAAAGACGCTAACGATCAAAACAATGCATGTGCTTTATCTATGGCATCATATTATCGAAAAACCAGACAGTGCTGCCAAGCATAATAAAATTATGAACAAATCACATTTCGATTTTATACTAAGAGCTCCCATGTCAGTAAACCCATGGCCGACCTGGCACATCAGTGAACCAGGTTGCGCAAACTGAAAACAACTTAAGTACCCATCTCAACAAAAAACTCAAGAAAAACGCCCCAATTTTCCACGCATTGTCCGATTTCATTCAGCAGAAGCTAGGTGTCATCATGATGAATACAGCCACACCCTGCGATTGGCTGTCACTGAAGGCGAGAAATGCTTAAATTGTATTGTTTTCCTGCACAAAACCATGCCTATAATCAATCCAAAATGATGAATATGCTAAACGGGAAAATTATACGGCTCGTATGCCCTATAGTCTCAATATTTTGTCGATAAGCCCGTAGTTGCTAGCGTACAATTGAGCAACAGTTGCCGAAATAGAAATGGGTCATTGGCGATGACATAGAGCTTGTTTGTTTATACCTAAAGAGCATGCGACTTACAACCACAAAACGGGGGCTTTCGCGTATGATTCGTTCACTCTGACTGGCCATTGCCACACGTTTTCAACAGACATGTCTGATTTGGACTTGTTTTCTGCTCGCGAGTTAATGGCGGGTCAGCATCGCCGCACAGCGTCCGTCCGCGGGCGAGTCCCGAACTGGCCGGGGCGGGCCGGGCTGCCGGCTGGCATTTTGGGAAAACTGAGTCTTTAGGTCGGGCTGCCAGCGTTATAGCCATGCCAGCGCTCCCCGCGGCCCACAACCAACAACCCATAAACAATAGTCAGTGACCACTGGCCGCCAACCAATCCAGATAAATGATCACTGAGGTCGTTACAGACCCGCCTTTTAGCGGCCAGCACACAATGGTCTTTGCCATTTGTATCTTATGGCCCGTTAGTGACAGCTGATCATTGCCCAACCGCAACAGGGGTCCAGCCCTGTACATTCAAAATTGTGCGGCCCGAACACTGCCCCCTCCCCGTGTGCGCTGCGATTGTACAGTTGACAATCCCAAACAATCCAAGCAATGAGATGACAACCCATTACAACAAATGACTTGACCAAGCACTGCCAGGCGGCCGTTGTGGCCTCCAGCGTGTCAAAGGGCGCTCCACTGCCGCCAATCTCAGACAGCGCCCCTGACCTCAACCGGCACGCACTGACCTTTGCTCTGTCCGGTAACCTTGTCTCGCAGAACGTTAATCTGGTGGACAGGGCCGAACTCCTCGAACATGGCGCGGATGTCGTTCTCGTCCATGTGTCGCGGCATCTGGCCCACGAACATCTTGATGGCGTCCGGGTCCGGCTGGTCCCGCGCGAGGCCGTCCGGTATCCGGCCGTTGCCGGTGGGGCCCAGGCCCGCCGAGCCCATCCTGCGACACGGGTGCGCGGTCAGCGGTGGCGGAACGGGCCTCCACTGAGCGCGCCGCCCCGGCCCGGGCTGCCACCGGCCACAAAAAGATTGGAGAGAGGTCGTTTGTCCAATCGTTGGGATACGACGTCATTTGTCCCGATGTCGACAATTATCAAGGTTGGTTTTCCGATTCACACACGGGGGAAAAGCAGCACACTCCACTCCGTCTTTGTTCTCTCTTGTTTGTCGCGGGCGGCTGCAAGCACTTCATTAGCAGCTAGCTTACTAATGTTGCGATAATATTGCTTGCAGCCGCCGCTCGCAACCATGAAATCAAATCTGTCCTCGCATTGCAGTAGTCTGGAACGATGGGCTGTTTCTTATCCATCGCGCTGTTCACATTTAAAGGTGTTGTGGTTAGCCGAGTTCACTTGTAAGCGTGAGCACACAGCCTTCACATCTCTCTAGGCTCTGGAGCGGTCGAGTGCTTGGCCCAGTACGTCGCCAAAGTTGAGCGATGTCTTCAATACGCTACGTAATATTGCATGGCATTGGCCAACCAACTATCTCACATCTGGAAATTAAACTTTAACAGCTCGACATGAGCCAGACGACGAGGCAAGTATGCTTGAGGTGGTGTAAGATCCACATACGAATCCATAGCAGACACCTCCTTTCCGTGTTCCCATCACAGCCCGACGCGCCCACAGCCTATCCAACGAAGCGGGTCTTCTGCAATCGCCACGACAGCACTGCAAAGCCGGCCCTACAAAACCTCAGCGAGGGACGGAATCAATTCCAGCCATCCTCTATTTCCAGCGGCTCAGAGTCCTGCCCCGCTCTGCCCGGCTCGCTGGGTCCCGCTGGCTGAGGGCAGGGGGGGGGGGGGGGGTGGGGAGGCGGCGACGGCGCTCGCGCCGGATGTCCGGCTGCAACAGCTTGTCTGGCGCGCGGCAGCCAGCGGAGGGTGATGCGCCGTTTCCGCCGCGGGGAGCGGCGCTGCGGCTGTCAAGCGCCACGGCGGGTTTGATGGCCGGCTCATAGACTGCCGGCCGCCGCAGCCCACGCCGCGGCGCCGCCGCCGACTTGTCCATCCCTTTTATCGCGCCATCAGCGGACGGCTACGATGGGCGGACTGATGCGATGGCCCGGGAATTGGCGCGTGCCAGCCGGCTGGTCTAGATGAGCAGGCAGCGTCTCTGCCCACACTCGTGACGGAGTGACTGCGGCTGAGTCCCGCGCCCCTGTGATCGTCCTCCCGCCCGTCGCCGCGAGAGTAAGGACACTAGATCACGCGACTCCAGCCGCGTGGTGTTTCTCAGCGCTGGACCGGGGTTGTTGCCATCATCCCTTCTCGGGGATGCAAACACAGAGTAAAATCGCGTTGTCATTGCACTCTATGAGACAGCGGCATTCCCTCATCTTCTTCCCAGCACTTGCTCGCCATCACCGCACATACACATGCTGTCTGACGCGAACAGGTGCCAACGGGCTTGAACAATGGCCATCAGCTTTGGTGCACACCTGCGACGAGCATTGTCTATGTAATTCCCACAGTCCAGTAATGCTGTCCAGTGCAACAAAGACGGGATGCGGCGCCTGTCAGGAGGCAATGGGCGCAGTCATACCGACTGAGGGCCGGCCAACAGCTGGTGCTGCGGCCAGCGATGGGTGCTTTATCCGACGGTCCGTTATCCGACGGTCCGTTATCCGACGGTCCGTTATCCGACGGAACACGCGATGTGCAACGGGTGCAAGCGTCGATGTGCACAACGACACATATCGCAACGGTCATAAGGTAAAGGGGAATGGAAAGATCTCTGAGTGTTTAGCAAAGTCCAGTTCCAGCCTAAAAAGGTTGAAGATTGGATCATTCTAGCCATCGCATCCTGCAACAAATTATCACTTCCCGCGGCCAAATCAATCTTTACACCGCGCTCGGGGCGAGAGGTTTATGATCACCACCCCCACCAAAGGTTAATACCAGATAATTGTAGCCGCACCTAGCTTTGCTTAGTGTCAGGCAATTAAATACGCAACTGTTTTGTATAAAAAACTAGGTGACCCTGCAAGGTCGTTGACCTGTGGTAAGCCAGTCAGGCCGTGGCTGTCAGTAAAGACAATTTCTGGGAAGTCGTACATTTGATGCTACAGCAGAGTGTTACACAAATCCATACATATCTGAGAGAGCATCTTTAGCGACGAAATAATTGAGTTTAGGATTTAAAACAAATTTAAATGACCTAGGGCCAGGTACAAAGGTCAGACCGAATTCAAAGCCAACCTGCCTTTTTACTGAACAGCTCGCTTTGTGAAGGAGTTTCTGAAGTTCGTCTCGAATTTTTTGATAGCAATGAACCGCAACAGGCATCTTCCATGGGCTTCTCAAAGGTCAGAGTAGGTCACTGACCTTAAATGACCCAGGCCAGCCCTTTGCTTGTTTTTTTTTTGAGCGTAACGCCCTGAGTTATCATTGACGCTTCTTCAAATCTAAAAAAAAACAAACAAAAAAATCATAGAAAACCATACCAACCAACCATCATAGAAATCAAGAATCATAGATGTTTCAAACAAGATAACTGACCTTAATTGAACATTAGTGACCTTTTTGCTTAAATCAGGTATCGAGGTTTAAGGCGGTTGCATGAGGAGGTCCGACGACACCATTGGACAACAACCTGACTTCGACCTTGTTTAACCTTATTGGACCGGCTGTTCATGACCTACAGATCTCAAATTTGACACAAGTAATTTTGCATGCATACTGATCCACCCGCTGTCTTTGGTGGCTCTATAGCCTTTTTTCTTTTGGGATCTCAGGGGGGTCAATTTTCCCCCACCCGGGGCGGAGGGTATCAACCGGCGACCTGGATCCGCATTAAATAAGTAACAATTATCAAAAATATAAAAATACAATTCGTTCTTAACATCATTTCAAATTTATCATAAGCGGTGCGATAAATGGTCAATGAGCACTGGTCGGAAAATGCACCAAAGACCAGTTCGATAAAAAGTTTCAAAGACCAGTTCGTGAAAAATGTTCCCGCAGTTCGATAAAAAGGTCATTTTCGGGCGATGACTCAGGTCTAGAATTACAGAAAGGTTCCCCACATTTATAGCGGGCGGTATTCAAACTACCACGGCCTGCGTTTGACGTTGATCGTCTCACACTCTCGATCAATATACGATGGCCAAAGCCATAACCGTAGGACTGATACGCAAATAAAAGCCATCGCGGCACCACCATCCGGTTACCAAGCCACTGCGGCACAAGCGTCTGGTTACCAAGACAGTGCAGCACAAGCGTCTGGTTACCAAGCCACTGCGGCACCACCATCCGGTTACCAAGCCATTGCCAAGGCAGACTGCCCGAGCCCCAAAGCCAGCAGTCCCGGTCCCGCCGCTGAAGAGCCTCGGACAATGGCCCACGACGGCGGCTGACTCCGTCACCCCCAGCAGGCAGCGGACGGCGCGGCAGCAGTGGTCCTGTGACGGCTCGAGCGCCGACCGCTGCTTCATGGCTCAAGTTAGCGTCGCGGGGCGTAGCTGATCGGTCGGCGGTCGCGGCGGGTGGGCCCAGATGGGTCCCGGGGGACCCAGCTGCTCCCCCGTCGCCGGGACCCTCCCATGTCCCGCACCTCCGCGCCGAACTTGCGTTATAACGCGCGGCGCCTCTGCCCCAGCCCGGGGTGAGGGCGGCGGGGTCACGGTCCGTGCCCGGCGGCCCGGCGGGCGCAGCCGGCCGGCTCTTGTGACGCACTCCCAACACGTGTGAGGGGAGGGTAGAGCGCAGGTGTCGGCGGAGGTGTCGGCCGTGACGCCGAACCCAAGGCGAGCGTCTTTGCCGGTCGCGCGGCTGGCTCCTGTTGTCGTGACGAAAACCGTAAAAATGGGCCTTACCAGTCAAACGGAGTGGAGAGAATGGGGTTTTCACTGAACAGCTTCAGTAAAAAAAATGGCTGACATAGGTTAACCTCAGCCATCGACGTATAGGATTGGAGCAGCTTTGTAAAAGGAATGGCTATTTGACGGCTGCTTGACGGGTTTGACACCACGAGACATGTTCGGACATAAAGGTGCGCTATAATGGAAAGTGTGTAACCTGGAGATTGGTTCTCTATGGTACCCTAGCTTGTGTTCTCTACTCGAAGACTAGTATCAGTATTGTTTTCAACTTGTTCGTTTACAAAACAAATTTCAGCCCGGTAAGATGATGGCGTAGAATTAAAGCGCGGTACCCCATTATCATCCTTTCCCAAACACTAAAATTTTCGACCAAAAACTCCTGCCGATGAATAGACGGGACAGCAGCCGCCTGAATACGGCATCTACAGCGGTAGTACAACTATAGCGGTAGAAAAATTAACGGCGTCACGGGCAATAAATTGTTCAGAATTGCAACAGCACAACAAGCACAACAAGAGATTTGCAGAGTTGCAACAGCACAACAAGCGGGCTAAGTGGGGAAGTCAGAAGCAAACTTCCAGCTGGGTGGGGCTCAGGACATGAAGCAGCATCTCGCCTGAAGAAGCACGAGCACAGGCAATAGCTGGCGGCGCCAGCAGCCCGGACGTTCGTGCCGGGGTCCCCCGAAAAGGCTCGATTCCCCAGCCGGGTAACATCAACACTTGGACATCATCAATTATGTACCCCGCCTGCCGGCCGGGGGCACGCAAAGTCGCGTGTCGCTATCCAAGCCCCGACGATTGCACCGTAGATAAAAGCTATTAGTCGCCACTGGAAATGAATCGCTACATCAGTGTATCGAGTATGTCGGGCTCGGTTAATTGTGCCGGCCGATTGTGTTCGTTGCGAAAGCCGGACGGGGCTCGACCCCGGCTGTAGATAGATTTGACTGCACCTAGTCAACGGTTGCGGGGCGATGTGGCACCGAATGAGCCCTGATGGGAACCACAGAGGTCTCTCTCTGACATGCTCAACGTTGTGACCCAGACAAACCAGACTCGATACCTGAGCGATAGGCCACCCAAATGTACGTAACATGCCAGTGGGTCCTTGAATTATTTTGAAGGAGGTCTCATCAATGTCAATGGGTTGCATTAGGGTCAGATGTCAGAGTTCTGGGTTGGGTTGGGTCCGATTTAGTGGGCTCGGCCCGATATTGGACGGGCTGGGTGATATCTGGGCCACGTTGGATCATCTCGGGGAGGCTTGGGTTAGATACATCAGGCTGGGTCATGTCAAGCATGTCTCGGGTTAGATATCGGTGCTGCGCCGGTTGGACAACAGTGCACCCTATCACCGAGCTCCATCTCTCCGGACCGCAGTGACAGGCCGGCGCGCCGTGTTCGCATACAACAAAGGCGGCGTTTCCGGCGGTGTCTGGGCCGGAAAACCGCCGCCATCTCCTTAAATTGGCCGCAAACCAGTCTCTGCCGGCAGCTTGCGGAATGACTGCGCCTTCATCCGCTACGCGGTGCTGACCCTGCGCCCGGGCTCGAGCCCGCAACATCGGCGGCAGCTCAGGAGGTATCTCTCTCTCTCTAGCAACTTACTTGCGTCGTTGTCGTACCGATTTTCCGCCTCTCACGCATCTAACGTATCTCGTGGCAATTTGAGGCACTCCCTCCAGAAATGCGGCGCTATTGAGCCCGGAGATAGCGTCCAGGTCCACCGCGACGCGCGCGACCGACCGAGGGCGACGCCGTCGGCCGGGACAGGCGTGGCCGGCCGAGAGAGAGCGTTGGCCCGCGCACGGTGGGCGCCGCTGCCGACAGCAGCACCACACGAACGGACGGCGCTGCCGGCAGCGCCCGCCGGCGACAGCGGCTGGCGGCCTGCAGGGCGCGCCAACGCCGCCCCGCGCGTCGCCCACAGCAGACGAACAAGAGCTTCAGCCGATCGGCGGCGCCTGGCGGACTCCCTCTCATCCGACAGCGGCCAGATATAATAAGTGCGGCCCATCAGCCGGAGCCGCATCAGTATGCATCGACTGGCGTCGCCGCCAGCATATCACCGCGCGCAAAACAACCTCGCCCTCCGCCCGCTCCCGGCGGGCAGCACGGCGCGCCACTGCGCCGCGCCGGCCTCGGGTCTCGCCGAGAGGAGGGGCCTGGGTCGCCGGCGGCTTGGCGGAGCCTGGGTCGGAGCCCCGGGGTCAAGCGGCAGGCCAGCGGTCGGTCAGCAGCGGCGATGAAAAAATTGCCGATCCTACGACAAGGATATATATATATATATATATATATATATATATATATATATATATATATATATTCCTGGAATGCTTAAATACACATTAATTAAGTTCAATCTCTGGCCGCGAGCCAAGAAATGCAGTCGCAGGTCCCAAATCATCTACATCACTGGCACATAATCTATATCCATAACAACGTGCAGGCTAAGGACAACGAAAAAACAATAGTAGGATTACGCTTTTGCTGCCGAAGCCTACGTTAAGGATGAACAGCAAACTGCAACAAGCTTCATGCGATCGACATTAATATCCAGGTGAAGTAAGGAAGACGAAGAAAAATGGGCGCAATTTCGGGGACAGCTGACCCCCCCCCCCCCCCTATCTTACATTGGGTGCACGTTAAGATATATCTGCGCGATATAAGATATATCCTAGATATATGCGATATAAGATATATCCTAGAAATGCTGGAGTTTGGTTTTGCTCTGCACGCCGCCATCCCACTGTCAGTGACATCATCTGAGGACGTAGTTCGCCACGCGCTCATCAAATCGCCCGATGACGCATTCTACGGCTCAAATGTCAGGATAAATCCGAACAGAAAGTTTCGGAAGTGGTAAACTATGCCTGTCCAGCCTGTGTGGTTCGTCAAGCACGGAGCTGCTCTTCAAGGTGGAACCACGCACGAGCTTGTATAACGCGCAGTTATGTCATCACCATGACAACATATGAAGATACAACAGCCGGATTTGAGATAAGTAAGAGGAACATTGTCGACAGTCGACAGGAACTAAGTACTTTCGGAAATAAAAAGGGAAGAACAGGATGGACGTAGCGAAATAAAGCGTCAAATGAGCAAGAAGACAAGATCGATAGGGAGAAGGAATGGAAGAGGACTTTACTAGAATGGTGAAAAAATTAAGATGTGAGCGAAGTTGCCGCGAATAGCAGAAGAAATAGACAGTTGGCGCGACCGAGAGAGGTTGAAGGATGTAAACATTCAGAGAACGCCGGGAGTGGGTCAGCGGGGAAGCACTATACGGCGTGGCGAAGCGAGGAGACGAGACCGACGGGGGCTCGACGGGGAGCGCGGGAAGGGGAGCTCACACGTACAGGGCGTGCCGGAGCTCGCTGAGGCTGAAGCAGTCTCGCTCGCGCCACATGGTGAGGAGGCAGCCTCTCACGCCGGCACCTTACCACCACTGCCGCTGCCGCCGCCCGAACATGTGTGCCACAGGTGGTGACGTCACGCAGCGGCGTCTGTCGGCCGCCTGACGTGAGATCGATACAATCGAGCGGCGCCGGTAAACAGCCGAGCCAGCCGGCCCAGCGGCGGCAGCCGGGCGTACGCCGACCGGGAGGTGAGCTAAAGCAAGGCTGGGGCTCGTGGGTGAGACGGGTGAAGCCTGCTCCGGGGGAGGGGGACTCGGAGCGTGCGCCGCGGACGAGCTCTCCTGTCCTGAGACGTGCTCAGGTGTGCTGTGCGCGCATTGGGTAGGTGGTGATTGGTCATGGCCCCGCGTTACTGGATGTCAGACGGAAGACATGGCTACCATTGTCATGTTTTGATGATACCATGGCCCACCCCAAATCAGTTAATGGCACTACACCAAGCATACGCACTACATTTCGGCCCGAAATCATCGCTCCAGCCTGCAAGGGCCCGAGCGAGCCAACGCATCGCTTCAAGCGAAACAACTTTCAGCGGACGTAACCACGGCTGAGGTCAGTCGGCGTCGAGGGAAATGCGTCTGTTTCATGGGGGGGGGGGGGGGGATTTCTATAAATGACACCAACATCTTAAACTGCAACCCAGCACCCAAGTCCGCGTGGTTGAAGTCACTGCCTTTGGCGCATTCACAGTTTGCAACGGCGAGCAGCCGCCAGTGCAACAGACAGGCCAACCTCGCTTGAGGAAGCTGCACGTGCCCTCTCGTCTGCCGGGCCTCCGGCGGCGGCGAGGGGCACTGATGTCTGGGTCTCGCGGCGATAAAGCAGACTCCGCACAGAAGTTTGCCCCTAAAGTTGATCGTGTTGACACAACGTTTCACGCTAGTTTGAAGCAAGTGGCCGACACAGGAAGTTTGTTTTGGACGAGGGTAACTCCTCTGTGAAAAACGCAGCCCGGAACTAGTTGACGACAAGACCAAAATTATTAAAGGGGATACCCATCGGCAACTGCTCAGCAGCTCACTTTGCCCCAAGCACCTTAAGAACAGGCTTATCCATACCTGAAAAGCAAGGACCAAGGCGGCTTGAGAGCACAGTCGCTGCCCGCCTTGTCGGGTGCGTCGCTGCTCCGCCCCGCCAGAGCACAGGTCCACCAGCCGGCGGCGGCGGCGCGGGGCGTGAGCTAATGGCGCGCGTCGCACCGACATTACAACCGGGTGGCGGTCCGCGTCAGGGTCGTTTGCGGTGCCGTTCGCGCCGCCACCGCCGCAGTTTATTTATACGCCGGCCGGGCGCCCATCACGGCGACGCCTCTCATTCCCGCCGCGCGGACTCGCTGGGAGCGAAGGCGCGCGCGCGCGCGGCGGACGCCCCGGCCGAGCTCATCATCCGGTGTAATGAGCAATTACAGCCACTGCTCCCGATCCGACGCCACGACCAGTTTTTCCGGATGGAATGGGAGCGGGCGAAATGTTCAGCGGCGCCTGAAGGCGACTGGAGGCGAGCGGGCGGCAGACAGCGCGTCCGCGGAGCGCTGGAGTGGGAGGCGACGCAGTCGACGACTGGCGGGTCCGCTGAAATGGCCTCAGGCAGTGCTGGAACACTTGCCCGTCATTTCCCGCAGTGGTCTGCAGAAAGTGCTCGCGAAGTATGACATAAACAAGTCCAAAAGCCAGCAGTCTTGTTTACGCTGGGCTTAACTGTCAGCCTAATACTCAGTCAAAACTACTTAAGTATAGCTAGGCATTACCAGGTCCACTCTAACAAGACACATCTGAAGCAAAACATTTTTGGCACACGAAAGGTAACAAACTAAACTGATATGACACGACATTGTAGCCCACTTTGTGGAGCATTGCACAGTCAGACAAATATGTATGCAGGACCCCTTCCCGGAAGCGATCTTGCATGGCCGGTCATTGACGGCTAGCTGGCAACTAGCCATGGAAAGCCGGCCGGAAGGAAGGCAGCTGTCCACGACGTCAGCGTCGACTTTTGCACCGTCATATATTTCGCCAGGAATTAACGTTGAACTAACTTTTGTTCCACGGGGTCGGTCTACACGAACCCGAAACATGATCGGCCCCAGTACTGAAAAAAGAAAAATTTCAATGTTCGCAGAGCGTTTCAGGTTGGAATGGAAAGCAACTGCGGCGGTGTAAAAAAAAATGGAGAAATTCCGGCACGCAATAACATCTTTGACAGGCCTGGGAAACGACCAGCTTTGCCCGGTGGCATCCCACAAGAGGCGAATGCGATGCAGCTGGCAGCGTCGATATTTGACGTGGGGTTTGATGAAAATAAAACCGCGGCGTCTAAATCGTAAACATTTCGACGTTCGGTCGACATCGAATAAACGTAGAAAGCGCTCGTGTGGCCAGTGGTTTGGACGGCGGCCGTTCGGCTATGCTTTATCAGCCCTGCCGCGCAATGGAGCACACATCAAGCCTTAATGCAACCGACGCGGAAGCAGCGGTTTTATGCTGAGTAGAAGCGGCCCAATCTTCCCACTATCTCGTCTAGCTTCGGGGGATCACCGTGCGCGAATGTTTTGTCAGGCGCCGGATCGTGCGCATAGTACCACAGACGGCTCCGGCGACGCTGTCACTCGAACGAAACCGTCGCACGATGGAGAACGGCGTTCAACCATGCTCAATGTGAACGGGATGTATAAAACGGCATCTGAGCTAGCTGGTGATAGCCCTTCCACGTTTGCACGACTGGGGCCTGCAGTCTTCTTCCTATTTTGATAAATAAGACGGAGTGGATGATATGAGGCTGGATTTAACCGGCAATTTTTACAAAACATCTGTCACTAAAAACGTGATGTTAAACATCATTGAACACCTTGGAAAACTTCGGAGGCGACTCCATGCAAAAGTTTGCTTTTCTACCCCTCAACTATTTCGAGCATTCAACACATTACTAGTTACGAAAACGATGTCACATATAATAAACTAAGTCCAGCTCGGACCGTCTGTATCAGGTTCCATCCAAATTGGGCTGTCAGAAACATTGCTGACATCCATCACCAGTGCGAACCACATTGTGGCGGCGGAATGGATCTCCTCTATCCAGCCTCTACGCCATTCTCCTCTTCCAATTGTGTCAACACCAACCACTCTGAAACGCCGAGCAAAAAACTCGAGACGGGTGCCCAATTGGACTCCATCGTTGCGTTCCAACATCGTACATTACATCAGCGGAAGCCTTCAAAAACATCTCCTGCCACCATGCTTCGAAATTTTCCGTGGACGCATCGCCTGCATCTGCAATGGTGGGTCACGCGCCTTGGACCACTCCTGGTGGACGTGGCTAATGTATTCATTCAATTTTCGGCTGCGCGTATCCGTTCTGTTTCGTCGGCGCCGACTGGCGGCTCGGATTGCCGCCGCGAACGCAATCTCCCTACTCGGAGACAAATGGCTGGCCGAGCGGACACTGCACCGAGCGCCGACACTCGAGCTGATTCGATGCAGCAAAAACGCCGCTGCCTCGTGACCCGGCGCGCGCCGCTGCCAGGTCAACGGCGGCCGCGGCGCCAGCGTCGAGGACGACGCGCGGCGCCGTCGGCGGCGCCGTCGGCCGCGACGGCCAATCGCCGGCCGGGGATTGTGACGCCGATGAGTTGGCAGCGCCGCCGGGATTAATCAGGCAGAGGCGGCACTAATAGCCGCGATCGCCGACTTCATTCCGATCGGTGCTCGTTGCGGCGGCCGCTATAAATTATGCAGGCGGCGGCGGCGGCTGCGGCTGCGGGTCTCTCCGGGTCAGCTGCCGCCGTCTCGGCCGCTCCGTCTCCCAGCCGTGTCCGTGACGACGGGCGGGATTGAGCCGATTGCCCGCCGGCGGCCGCGACACGAAAAAGGCGGCGGCCCGTCGGACAGCGAGGGACTTCTGGCAGCGGGTCGCGGGCATCGCGCGCAGAAATCAATCAGCAATCGCCCCCGGGAACGCCGGAACGCCGAAACGACGCCGAAATTATCTCCCGCCCTGTGCAAAAACCGCATCACGTAGCTAGTCCCCGGATATTGAGGCCCTCCTGAGATGAGCCATTATTGCGACGAGGCCTCGAGCAAAAATATGTGCGCGAAGCTCCGGGGAGCGCGGCATGTTGACGACGGACAGGGGCAGCCGGGTAATCTGCGCCCTCCGTCATTGGACACAGCTGGTGCGCTTCGAGTGTCGCCGTCTGCTGGCGACATTGTTCCTGTTAGACACCAAGATGGTGCGTAATAATAAGGACATCTGCTATCATTGACGCTTTAAGGTTATGAGCAATTTAAGGCAGGTCAATTAGCAAATCGAGGCAGGCATGTAGTCCTTGGTAAAAGGCTGAGCAGAGTGAATTAATTGGAAGAGCTTGCAAGAGCAAACGCTTGTTTAGAGTTCGCGAATAAACTGTGCTAAAATGCACCTCGTAACTCAAACCATTCCTTTCGGCTACTGTTTATGTGCAATCACTTTCAGGCGTGCAAATGGATTACCAGGTGTCTTTGAACTCCTACAACGTTTCTGGGAAATATAGCGTTCATGCCGTCCTTGGATACCCATTGGATGATCGGCATTTTCTGTTCAAAATGCCAGACCTAGACAGCATTTCATGAAACTCCAACGTTTTTACACGTGTCGAATTCCCCAGTACAGTGTAACACATGTAACAAAGATACAAACAGACTTTAGATATGAGGTTAAGGTCCCGTAGTACAGATTTTCGCCAAGAGATTGAAAGGAGGTATACACAAAGCTACTTTACCCTCCTGCAGAAGGATTGAATGTCCAAGCCACTCACGCGAAGGAAACAGTCGTTCGATCCTTTCCAAATCACCCCATGCGCCTCTCCGTTCCGAAATTCGTCCAATCAGCGCCTCCGCTCAACTTCGTGGCCTACACCACAGCCCATTCCACCAGTAATTTCCGCACGCTAATCGAACACGCAAGTCCACTTGGCCAGCGGCGGTAAAAAGCTGCAGCCAACGGCGGTAGATGAGTTACGATCGATACGGCCGGCTTT